GACCGAGTACTTCCAACAAAAGAATCAAAAGCAGCAAGACAAATTCAAAATAAATTTTCTTTTATTAACGTTGAAAGGACAAGTAAAAACGACCCTTCTTATCATGATCACGCCTTTAAAATAATAAAAACAGTGCTTCATTTGCTTGCTATTCTTCTTTTTTACTATATTATTTGATTGCTAAAAAATTGTTACATTGGTATTTAACGACATGTGTGCAACTAAAATGTAAGCAAACATTTTGGGTTCTTCCATTTGTACATTTTTTTAAAAATCATTTTAAAGAATAATCAATTAAAAATAATTAAATTAGACATTAATAAATTTATGTGTTATTCATGAGAATTTAAATAAAATCTTATTCTCTGATAACACTTAATTAACATTTTTTCTTCTCCATATATATATTATTGTAGAAAAATAGCCGGTTGAAGTGGTCTTCCCTTAATCCGGTACATTAAGTCATTAACATGTAAATTATAATTCTAAAAAATCCTAACATGGAAACTGTCAATAAGTTAAGGGTCAAAATGAAAAACGTGTAATTCTGATTAAATAAAAATCTTCCTTAATCAACTGCGCAATTTTATGATCAAACATCAATCATAACCGTCCACGTCGGACACAAGAGTCAGCCAAAACCTATGACAAAAGATGAAACATCGTAACCTGCACAACAACATAGTCCTGCCCCTTTCTTTCTTAATTCGTACAAAACCAAATTATCTTTATCCAGATAGTCTCTTCTTTCCTGTACCCTTCCTTTTTTTTTCTTCTCTCTCTACAATTTCCAACATAAAGAATAAAAGAAGAGGAATTTTCCATCAGGATAAGGCTTCGCCATCTTCATTTATTCGGCTCAGTTTTTAACTATTCAGAAAATTAAAGAAAGTCTCTGTGTGTTTATTGTTTTATTTTTTTCTCTCTCTGTTATCAACAATGGCGGAAATATCGCTACCCCATGTGCACTTCACCAGATATTGATACCCCACAATTTTTCACTCCCTTACTTTCTCTGCTCTTTTCATTTCCCAAAACGATGTCTCTTGTTTTCGACAGGAATGACAATACTAATTCAATCAGACGCTCAGGGTTTATCCACGGGATGCAGTGTATCTCGGTCTATGGTTCGCCAGAGGAGAAAAACGAGGGCCGGAGGAGGTTGTTGTCGGCGGATGAGAGGGAAGAGGAGGATTCGAGGTCTTGTAGTTCGTCGTCAATCGGAAGGAATAGTGATGTTTCCGATGGATCATCATCGGACGGTGAAGATTCAACGGAGGCTGAAGCGCAAAGCGAGCTTAAAGGACCTTTGGATACCATGGATGCTCTAGAGGAGGTTTTGCCTGTGAGGTAATTTTTTTTTAGGAAAAAAAAAACCTTAAAAAATTTGGGGTTTTTTCTTTCTGGGTTTTGATCCATCTTGTTTTTTGGTTGATGGGCTTTTGTTAAAAGTTTGCAAGCAAGTTTAGAGGAATAGCTAGGGCAGTTTTAAGTGTTTTTGTCTTTGATTTTGTTATAGTGTTTTGCAGAATCATCCGAAATATCTATTTTATAACTGCTTACTTGGACCCAAAAGTGAAATTTAATGAGTTTCCATTTCTTCAAGGGAGTTGAATTGGCATTAAAATATATTAGTGGTTTTTTTTTTACCTTCTTTTATTAATTCTTATAAGTGGAGCTTTAAAAAAAAAAAAGTGGAGAAAGGAGGGAGATGAGAAATAATACTAGTGAATCACTGAATCGGGGAGGTGCTGATGCTAGCTTCTTAGAATGTTAGTGAAAGGTAGGATGCATTAAATTTTAAAGCATAATGAGTGGAGAAAATTTGTGTTTTGACATAATTAGGCTCAGGAACCGTAAGCCAAGGAGCATTTTGAACTTAATTTTGAATTATTGGGGGCAACACTAATTTACTTGCTTCAAGTGATGATCTGTTGATGCACTTGTCGATTGAAATGTCTTACCACCAATTACCGCTTGAAGTTGCACTCTTTGTTAATCTAATGCCATTAGAACAGTTCAGGAAAATGCAAATCCATCTTGCAAGATAACCAACTACTATAAAGCAATAGCTAAGCAACGCCATTTTTCTTGTTAATAAGAGGAAAATATTTTCTTATATGGACTGTTTTGGACTTTAGACAGTTTTTGTCTGATTCCATTGTTAACATTTGGGAGCTTCAATTTCTTGATTTTTGTGGTTTTGCTTTATTTCAGAAGAGGCATATCCAAGTTTTATAATGGCAAATCAAAGTCCTTCACAAGTCTAGCTGACGCAGCTGCTGCTTCCTCCATTAAAGATTTTGCAAAGCCGGACAATCCCTATAATAAGAAACGGAAGAACTTATTAGCTCATGGTTCTTTGTTGTTTAATAATCACACTCATCCTTTGAGAAGCAGTGGAAGTGAGATATCAAAGAGATTAGCTAATTCCAGTCGAAGCACCATGGTTCTTGGAACCACCCTGGGCAGCTCTGACTCCAACACAATCTCATCTTTGCCATCTACCTGTCTTCCACCTTTGCATCCACAGTGTAAAAAATCAACTACCATCAGATCATCATCACCAACTACTCGACCAAACCCTCCTTGTCGGTCTTTCTCCTTGTCTGATCTACAGTTTGTCGCTGCTGCAACTCCTAACATAACTGGTTTGGCTGTTCATAGTGGAGACAAGGACAACAAACTGCGCTGAATTTAACTGAAGTTTCACTTTCAAAATTATGAAATTAGAAGTTGCTAAAATTTTTATGGTCTTGGTCTGGAAGACTGTCAGTCTATCACTTGCAGCTTCCTGCCTTGATCTAATGCTTGTACTTGTAGTGCTAGGTATACCATGGCCAGGCATTTTGAGAAGTAATTCTCACTTTATTATTCTCATATCTTGTTTGCTGTGACCTAGATAACGATAAGAATGCTGTATTGTATAATGTGAGATGTAAAATATATTCTCTTCCTAAACAGGAAGTGCTGGCCTTTTCTCATGTAACCCTGATATGGGAGTTGCTGTGTGCATGTTACTGCAGTACAGTTTTTCCTTTTCCTCCTCTTCACCCTCTCTAGTCTCCACCATTGCTTGTGTTATTTCTCTTTGCTGTATGGATGATGATGGTTATAGGACTTTGATGTGTGCTTTAGATTGGCTTGGTGACTGATTCCCTAGCATCCTTAGTATAGCTCGTCCTTGTGGTTCTTGATTTTTGCTAATTCCTTGTCTGTGCTGTGTATCCGCTGAATTTGCTAAATAGGTCATCAGCAGCGTGGAATTGATCCTATTTTTACTAATTCTGCTCTTGATAGTTTATGTAGTGGAACTTGGGAAAAGGTTAGGAAGTTGCAGACAATTGGAAAAGAGAAATAACCTTAGAAATGTTTTCAACTTTTGTTTTGTTCCTTTCGGAAGTGCACTCTAGCTCTCTATTAAGAGGGAAAGTTATGGAGAAGTTCAATCTTGTTTCCTGGCTATGTCGTTAGTTTAATATCCATTTTGTCAAATGATAATCTTCTTGCAAGTTTAAAGACCACTGTATTTGACTCGATGAAGTATGATGTTTACACCAAAACTATAGCTATTGGAAGTCAGATGATGGTTGCACCGGCATCTGAACATGTCGTGTGCAGGTACGTGCATGCATATGTAGCTGCATACACGGACCAAGGTGAGATGGTTGTCATAAGGAAAAATTTTACGGTACTGCAAAACGTCATGTTCTGTTTTCAGAGATATTGTGGTTCCTTGAACAAGGGAGATTAGCTGATCAGAACAACAAGACTGATGTTATAATGGACATATATGGATCAAAAAGAAGTTCACAACGATTTTGAATTACAGACAGCAATACCCAGCATGTGCAGAAAATCTTAAGCACTAAATATTGTACCTTTCCTTAAGTTGTTGCAGATTTATATCAAGTTATGACAGAAGGCTTGTTTAGTGGACAATAATCACTTGAGTAAAGTAGCATGTTTGCGTAAATTTATCTGAACAATGAATGAGGTTTTAACATTTTGTGTGATATTTAGATATAACTATAGTTCTTTAATTTCGTTTAGAATCAGAGAATGTCATATTTGAGCATTGATTAACAGGAGACTACATTATAGCAATTAATCTGAGAGCTGTTCACCCGGAAGTTGTTTAAATTCAGTAGATGTCAGAATTATGCTATACGATGAGGCAATCTAGCAGACGAAGATGCTGACATCATTTTTTCCAAGGACTAAATGGATAAACATTACTGCCTAAGCTTGCTGTTTCACACACCAGCTATGACTTGGGTTTTATTCCATTTCAGCTTCTTCATATGGAATGCAATAGTGTTCTTACCAAAAGATAAATCTGGAATACCTCCTGAAACCATTTAGCAGATTGGTGAATGAATTATTATTTTCTTTATCTGGTTAGACAGTTGTAAATTTTCCTCAATGCCAAATAACTTGATAGTCTGAAACGGAAAGATTATAAATGATCCCAACTCTGATTGCCATGTAAAGCCTGCAGACTCATTAATTATACCTTGCCATAAAGAATTTCTTTCTTGAAAGGGCATAAAAGCCAACAAAGATTCTGGTGGTGTAGATATCACTTTGATAAGAACAACATTATGATTCTAGGTCAACCTTAGTTTGCCTGTGCACTGGCTGTGCTTATAAGTTGGCCTGGACTGGAGTAAGAGAAGTCAAAGTCTGTTCTGTGCGGGCCCTTTGATTTTACCTGTGCTGGTTGGTGGTAGAGAAGGCATACTTACAGAGGGAAATCCAGTCCAATCTGAGAATCAGGTTTTTTTCTGGTTGCCCAATCCACTGCATCGCATTCATGGCCAAATGATAGCATATATTGTTCTGCGGTTATATTTTCTCAAGTATTCACCCTTCTCTTTCTTGTTCTCATCCCAGTCTGAATATAGTGATTCCAATGGTTATTATACAGGGTCCTGGTACCTCCTGGTTGCCTCTATAAACTAAGGCACTGCTGATTATTTTACCATTTGCTGAAATTGATGGCTCCTCCATCTTTTGTTTCACAAGAGGAATTCCATGCATTTCATACGATTGATCGGAAGCTATACACTCTGCTCGTTATCAACCTTTGGCGGGATCCCGTAGAGTCTATGCAGGTTATAGCCCTATGGCTCTGGCTGGAGAGGGTGGGCTTCAAAAATGTTGTGCAGAAGATATTGTCCTTGCCTTATATATTGACAAATGAACTTGCAGATGAGGCAGTCACATGCCTCAACGTCATTAACAATGACCAATTAGCTTCCTTGACCGAGGGCAACGATACCCCTTTGATGCAAAGCCTGATCGACAGAGATCTCTCTCTCCAATTCTTTGATAAACACCGGCTGATTGCAACTCAAGGTATTACAAGAATTGTTAACGAAGTATGTATCAGAGCGTTAAGGGACATTATGCAACATGCCATCGAAAGAAATGCTGCCCAAAGCTTAGCTGATAGTCAGAAAGTAATATCACATTCGTTACAGCAACCAATGGTTCAGCCCGGATTACCTCAGGTAGGGTTTGGTCCAGATGCTGATGTGGAACTACCTTGGACCCAAGAATCTGAAGTTCCACCAGACGACAGGACTATGTTTGTTACATTCTCTAAGGGCTACCCTGTACATGAATGGGAAGTCAGAGAATTCTTCACCAGGGCTTATGGGGATGGCATAGAGTCCTTGCACATGCAAGAAGTTCCGCCTGACGAGCAATCACTCTTTGCACGCATTGTTTTTTGCTCAGAATCAGCCATTGAAATCATCCTTAGCGGTATGAGCAAAGCAAAATTTACTATCAATGGGAAGCATGTGTGGGCTCGGAAATTTGTGCCAAAACGTCTCAAGCCTTCATTGCCAGCAGCACCACCAGTGAATTTGCCAGTTTGATTTGGGTTATGATCATAATTTCTTTATGTAGGAGGGGTTCAACAATCTTCTTTCAAATCTGGGGAAATTCAGTAGCATGCAGATTGAAGTAACTCTCATGGAAAAAATGATCAATTTGTTTGTTGTAAACTCAACTTGGAAAAGAGAAGGAATGAAATTGGAAACGGAATTTGATTTTAATGATCAATTATCTCTTTTTGGACTGATCTCTTAAAATATATTTACCTAATTCATGAATAAAATATGAAAAGTGTATTTTAATTGAAAACGACAAAAAATAATAATTTAAATTTTTATTATTTTAAAATCATTAATTTTAATTAAAATTGTGATGAAATTCACAATCATGGATCTTTAAAATGATTTCATAACGTTCGTATATCAATCATGTATCATATGTTGAAATTATGACATCATAATCATATATTAATCATGCACAATGGGTTATTCAATCATACTTTATGTAAGTATAAGGAACAAAACAAAATATATAGAGTACTTAAACTTAGTTGAGCAATATCAAGGCTTATCCTATTTTATGCATAAAACATACTTTTTAAGGTGAAATATCTCAAGTTACGGATAAATTAGTAATATTATCTCACCTAAAAAGTATTAACTTTTTACACTAAAAAATATATATATATATTCATTACATCATTTTAAAAACAGATACATATAAATAAATGTTAAAAGATGAATTTTTTTAAAAAAAACTATGAATTCCACGTTAATAAAAGATGAGATAGATTTTCAATATATAAATATGAGCTTTTCTCCACACATTAAGTATGTTTTTTTATTAAAAACGTGAACTTATGATAAATAATATAACAATAAATCTAAATCTTCATTAAGATAAGAACTTTAGAAGAAATACAAAGTTAGATGTAAACTCTTATTATCCTCACAATTGAATGGAGTAAAATGTTACAAATTTCGTATAAATAAAAATTTGTTTTTGAACCCACCAATGGTCAAGGTTAGGGAGAAAGATTAACTCAAGGATTGGTAATTAATTCTATTTCAATGGTTTGAAAGTCCACATTGTTTTAATTTGGATGAAAGACATATTTAAAGTTGTTTCCAAGATAATGTGTATTCACTTATTTTGATTGGGTTTTAGAGATAGATTATAGAAATATTTATACTTTTAACATAATAATTAAATGATTTAGGATTATTTTCTCTTAAATTGTTTAAGTTGCTTTTGTCCATTTTCAATCTCAAGTAATCCTTGGAAATAATTGACTTAAAAGAGTGGCAAGGGGTCAATGTTTAGCGTGAGAAAGAAAGAGAAGAAACCAAGCTGGCTGACCTACAAGATCCGGTTCAAGAATTAAGTTTAGGAAAAAAATTACATACAATGTGTTCTTAAAATATAAACTTATAATATCCTTAAGAAGTTGCATACCAAATTAAAAAAAAAATTGATTCACAGACACATTAATACTTCTAACGTGAAAAAAGCAAATGAAAAATAAATACTGTTCAAAATTATTCAAACACTAATTTAAAAAAAGCAAAGAAATTTTATTGAAAAAATCCGTTTGGAAAGCATGAAAATATTTTCAACAATTTTGAGTATTTGATCGAAGGAAAATGCATTAAAAAATAAAACTTTTTGAGGTCAACAGAAAATAAGCCCGTTGACTTCGAAGTCTCTCTCTATCCCGACTCTTTCTTCCTCCCCCTTCCCTTGCGTTCCCAGCCCATTTTCTCTCTCACTTGATCTACCACGTCTCCTTCTTCCTCCCACCATTGCAGGCGGCATCGCAGGTCTTCTTGACCAGCAATCTTTCCTTCCTTCCTTTCTTTCTTTCTTTCTTTTTTTTCCTTGTTTGCTATCAAAACCGTGTCTCTCTCTTCCTCTCTCCAATTGCAGCGCCACCAGTGGCCTACCGACAACCTCCCACTCTCTTTCTTTTCCTTTTTTCTTTCTTATCTTGCTTTTCTTTTCCTGTTTTTCCTTTCTCTTTCTCAAAAGAAAACTCTTGCTTTTGTTTTCAATAACCTTCCCCTTTCAAGATCTGCGAGCTTGCTACAAAAATTCAAAGCCAACCACGTATACTTCGATGAGCAGTACTACCTAGCCAAACAGAAGATCTCTAAAGATAAGATCTCTAATTTTTGGATTCCAAGATTCAGGTTATCGTATAAGACATGTCCCTAATACAAAATGAGCTACGTACACTGAAACGGAACACATTTAAAATCTAGCAGTCTACCAAAAAAAACCAACTAAAGTTTAGTGCTATTTCTTTTTGAAAATACATGGCTCTTGCACAATTTTTATATAAAGTTCTCTAGTTTTCACAAAATCTCAACAAGCATTAGTTGCCATCTTTATTAGATAAACTTCACTTTAACTATACATCAATACTGAAAAAAAAATCAATTTATTTCTCTTTATCTTGATCTTGATTTACTTACTAGTATAGAGAATCTCTATCAATTTTCAAACCAACAACATAGTGCATAAATATGAGTTGAGATGGATTGTACAAGTTATGCAACTGCAGCTAGCAAGCATTATTTTTTTTTATTTTTGTTTTACTTTTTTCTTTATAATTTATTATTGAAACACATTTTTTTTTAAAACATTGAGCATAATTTTCTTAAAAATTATTGTAAATCTTATTTTTCTTATTCCTTTTGATTTATTTATTAATAAAATTATTATATATTATGAATCTTTTGCTTATTAGTTAAGTTTAATATATTAATTTTAAAATTTTTTAACTCTTATTCTTCTTCATCTTTAACTTTTCAATAAAAGTTGACTTATTCCTTCCTTGATTTCAAGACTGTTTTTATGTTTTGTCTTTTCTGCGATGGTATATTATGCAGATTATAGGCTTGTTATATAAATGATTAATGCAGGTTTGTATAAGGGGACTTTATGTAAATTTAGGATCTCTTGGGTGAGATGTTGAGCTAGATTTCTTCCTTTTGGTAAATGTGTTTCTGTTCTCAAATTTGTACTTCCATGTCAAATGTTTGATTGAGATGAGGATGTTGTTTCAGTTTTAAAATTTATTGTTTGAGAAAAAAAAATAAAAGAGAAAAAAAGTTTTGGTAGACTACTTTATCTTTCTTTGATTGAAGTTAATGAAAGGAGGAGCACATGCTGAACTTAGCAGTAGAATTGATTTTACTTAAAAGTAGTAAACTATAATTAATCCCTCAAAAATATTTTTTTTAACATGTATGTAATTTGAGTGATGTATCATATTTGTAGAGTTTAATTAAATTGGTAAGGTATTACTTTTTTATAAAAAAAATTATAATGTTTTTTAAGATAAAATTTCTTTTGAAAATGAATACTAAACAATATTTTTTTATAAAATAATTTAAATAATTAAAAATATTTTTGATAATTTATCTAAATAAAAAAATATTAAACTATACTGAAGCTTAGAGGGAACATTAAAGAAAAAGGCAACGGGAAAAATCCCTGCTGTACAGGAAAGCGAAAACCCCTGTTTTTGTCAGTATAAAAAGGTTATAGTACTTTACATATGCACCAAGGTTATAGTACTTTTCATTGGTTCAGTGAGTTTCCTAGGGCAAAACACATGGCAGTGGCTCAATGATACAGTGTGCCCAGATTGAAGGGAAGGCAATGGTAAGCTGCAGGGCTTACATGTACAAACTGCTTAGAGCAATCACTAGTTAATGGGAAGTGATAACGAAATTAATCTGCAATAGTTCACACTAACCTTTGGTAAATCGATTGGTTGACTGGCATTTCTCCAAGAGAATGTGAGAACTGATTTGCCTGCAGCTAAAAAAGAGAATGGATCGAACTCAAAAAAGATTGTTTTTCTTCATGGAAATGTAAGGGGGAATTTTTGGTCGAAGTGGTATTGTTTTTCATGTGAGAATGAGAAACGTAGATGTGCTTTTATACCATAAGTGGGGAAACTTTCTTAAACTCAAGACACGATTCGATTCACTAAATGTTACTTTCTGAAAAACAAAGAATTCTCCACTGCTGTAATCGTCATGTCACCCAATCTCTACCCAAAGTAGAAAGGTCTCATATTCCGGCGGTTGCAAACCCGAAACTACCCCTCTCAGCCATGGCGTAACGTGCCACTCCATTGGCGTAACGTGTCTGAGGAGATACACACGAATGTTAAAATTATGGGCAAGTTGACTGGGCAAGCCTCAATACTGATAGAACATACAAAAAATCAATAGATGAAGCTTCTGCTGGAGGAGTAATTCGTAATTCGTAATTCGGAAGGTGTTTGCTGAACTGGCTTTGTGGTGAGGTTAGGAGAATGCTCAGCACAAAGAGCTGAATTGTGGGGAGTGTTTTATGGTCTTCAACTGACATGGGATTCAGGGATCAAGAAAGTGATGGTATAAATTAACAACAAGATGGTAATTCACGTAATTTTAATGAATAAGTTACCATTATGTGCGAATATGGCATCTAAAAAAAGGTTTAGGGAAAAATTAAATGACTATCTTCTCTCTTCTGCCTCACTTTTGTAAAGAATACAACACAATTACATCCCATTTGGTTTTCACAGGTCAAAAAATGATATGATAAAATGGGGTAGCAACCGATGGCCTTCATTCCGATTCATGCCAGATTATTTGATCAAACAAATTTTCTGGAGATGCATTCCTCCTTCTGGTTGAACTACAATGCCATTCCACCTGCAAGCCTGTTTTCCACTATCTTTTTGTTTATTGCTGCATCTAGGGGCGAATTAGAGTATTTTTAAAAGGAAGTTAAACAGAAAGAGACATTAAACAACCAAATAGAATCTTATATATAATTCAATTATCACTTAGTTAAAAAATTAAATAAAATTCATAAGACATCAGACATACAAAAAAATATATATTAACCGTAATGATGATGTCATATATATATATATGTATATATATGACTGAATAAAATCATCAAAAGAGTCTCTCTCACTCTCTGGGCATAAGAGTAGAAGAGAAAATAATTTTTTAAATTCAAATAAATTATCTCTATGTTGCAGCTTTTTTCTTATTTTTTATTTACCTCTTAAATTACTAATTAACATATTGAGTTATCAGGTTGAACTATTAAGATATAATATGTTATTATAAACTATTAGATTCAACTGTTACCATATAATATGTTATAATAAGTTTAAATTTATATTAAAACTGAATAAGTTTGGATTACTCGACTCACTATATTTTTTAAATTTGATAAAGTTAATATATTAGTTAGAATATATTTGTTAGGCTTAAATGGCAATATGCTAACTATAATGACTCTAATTTTATCAAACAATTTGAGGAATAAAAATAATTATTAAATAAAAAAATATTTTGAGAGTCATTAAAAGTATATAATAAATAAAATTATATTGAAAAAAATACAATTATTTCATTCTATCAATTCATTTGTATATAATAAATAAAATTGTATTGAAAGAAATACAATTATTTCATTCTACCAATTCACTTGTATATCATTATTATTTAAATTTTGCAACACACATGTCAGAACCTACTGGTTATTCTGAATAAAAAATAATATATTGATGAAATTCTAAGCAACAGTACAACACTACAATTTATATTTAAGAATTAATAATAATTTATTTATTTTTAAAGATTAAAATCATAAAAAATAAAATCTATATAATAAAAATAAGAAGAACATGAAAAGTAGAAGATAGAATTCACATATGACATAATAAAAAAGAAAAAAAAGAATATGATTGATGATTCAATAAAATTTATGAAAAAAAATCTATAGAGATTTAAAATATATGAGTAAATAGAATAAAAATAAATAAATAAATAAATAAAAATAATAAAATAAATTGAAAGAAAAAAAACATTTAACTTGGGTCATGCATATAGAATTATTTAATTTGTTATTTTTTATTTATATAAATTATTAAATAAAAAATTATTTTGCAGAAATTATTAAAAAAATTAATATAATATGTCAAAAAGGGGCCATGGCCACCCATAGGCTCCGCCTCTGGCAGCGTTAATAGGGCTCATCTGTTGATAAATATTGCAAAGTTTGTATGACAAGAGTGAGAAAGTGATGAGAGAAATTAGTGAAAGAAAAGTCATAAAAAAACCAAAAAAAAGTTTAAATCCCTTTTTTGCTTTTTAATTAAACAAAAAAAATTATAAAAAAATATGTTTTTATTATCTTTTTTATAAAAAATTAAGTGAATAAAAATAAAGCATAAAATTTTATATGAGAAAAATAAAAAACTTTAAGATGCCATGTCAGAAAATGCCACACTGCAAAGGGTCCATATGAAATTTACTATAAAATCATTATATACAGATTAAATTAAAATGCAAAAATTGCATTCAAACATCCATTAATATTAATATTAGGTAAACATAAAATAAAGCTCTTCATCCATATAAGTCTAAGCACAAGACATACTTTCTTATGATAATAAATACTAAATAGTAAATATTTTTTTTAATTGAATGTTGATAAATGTCTTGATTAAACGGATTATATTTTACACAAAATTATTGAACCAATAATTTATGATTCAAAATAATTTTATTGTTAATTAATTAATATTATTCTTTTCATATTTAAATGTTTGTTTTTACAGAGATTAAAAATAAAATTTTTGACTTTAGGTATTTTATAAAAAATAAATTTTTTTATATCTTGTGGTGTAAAAAAAAAGTAAGGACATTAGATGTTTAAAATTTAAAAAATTATTTTAAAACATTTTTAAAAATAATAGAAAAAAATGAAACTTAAAGAATATATGAATTCTGTCAATGATGTGGTCTTCTCCCTCAACGAAACCCGTTGGACCATGTTGAACACTGGTTGATGGACCTCGGCCTAAGCCCAAATCCAAATGGAAGAGAAAGATATTATCGTCATTCTCCAAGAAAATATAACTTTCATAACAACATTGCGGAAAACGGACCAGATCATTAGACGACATCCCCTCCACCGAAGCATCCGTACATATACTTGACATACGCTTCTACGTATCCAATCCTTTCTTAAAGGTACGTATACTTCTCCATGGCTTCAGTGATTTTAACTCAAGAAATTCCAGTAATGAAGTACTACTGATGGTTTAGTCTTTTGTGTTAAAATTTTATTAAAACTGGCTTTTATTGTGTTTGGTTTTCCTTGGGAATTGATTTTTAGTTTTGGTGGGCTGTAAAATGGAGCCGGCGCCTAATGGCGAAGAACCCGCTTCCTGGGATGAGCTATACAGCATAAACTTGATGCCATCAGAGTTGTTCCTCAAGTTTAGAAAAGAAATTCAGGGATTTCGAGTTGGTGTCAATTTGGAGGTTATTTTTCCCTTCTTTTTACTCAATATTCTATATAATTCTCGTTATTCGTTTTGTAGGTGAATGGGGTGTCTTTTTGTTTGTTCACAATGAATTTATGTATGGAGCTTAGTTAGTCATGTAATCTTCAGGCATGAGCCCATGAACGGAGTATTTTTTTAACTGTCTTATCTTCTTTATTTTCAAAATGCTGTTTTTACTTGGAAAAGGATGCTTACTTTAATGAAAGATATGTATAAACTGTACAGGTTGTTGTTATTTATGACCTATTGAGTATTTACATCTTAGTTTTGCTTCAGTTCTACAATGCTCCAACCAATGATTTCCAAACAAAGCTTGTGCTGAAGCCTTTATCTCCTGAACGGAGGTGGAAGTTTGCATATGAGCCTATACATCAAGATGTACGCCTTCTTTCGAAAAAGATCCCTGTGACCAAATTTCTTAATCTCCAGGTCCCATCTACTATCCTTTATCCATTTTGGCTTGGCAGATTAGACAAACTCTATATTAGTGATAGCATACATGTAGGAGTCTGATGTCTATTCAACATTTGACATGTCCTGTGGGAGTGTAGGTAACTTTATTTGTTCTTTGTTTATTCCTAAAAAAAAAAAGAAAAAACTTTATTTGTTTTTCATGCATGACTTGCGCATATTTCGTAATGGTTACGCTAAAGTTTTTGGAAATAGGTCGGCATAGGCCATAATTTCAAGTTAAATGCAACGGGTTGGAAATGGAAGCTCACCACCTGTTTGGGTGGAGATGGAGTTTCTCGGATTCGGAATAAGACAACACTTGGCTTGGTTCCTGGCCTGGATTTTCGATTTGGGTGGAGAGCTGATTATGTTCTTCCAGAAATTACAGGGCAAGTTCCTTGATGTTTTATGAACTTGTATTTAAGAATTTTATGTAAGCAAAAGGAAGAAATGATAAGCTCATCCCTAGAATAGTAGAACAGTCTTTGATGTTAAGCTTGCCAAAATTATCCCCTACAATTTTGTTGAAAGTTATGCAGGGTATGTTCCTTGATCTTCTATGAACTTATAATTAAGATATTTCAAGGATTTAGTATACTCATGATGTTATAATATATGTGCTTTCAAAATAAATCACCAGAACTTTTAATGGCATGCTTCTCCTTCTTATTTGTTAATAGTGACATTTTTGTTTCTTTTATTCAGTTATTCATTGATTCCTTCTCTTCCTTTTTCTTACCAGACATGTTTTCACAATTATGTGTAGCTTATCATTGATACCTTGAATTTAACAGAGCTCTTGGTACTGATGAACCATTGTTCAACATGAACTCTGGGCGGTTGCAAGCTTCGCTAGATAGAGTTGAGGCCATTCTGACTCATTCATCATGATTGGTGGTCAAAATTTCAGGTATGGCTATCTCATGACATTTTTAGTAGAATTTCTGGTTGGCAACTGGCATACTCTAACTGGCAATTTGTAGGATACAAAATTGTCAAGTACATAAAGATTTATTTTTGTTAAATTCAAAGTATCTGGAATTTTGTACCATTTATCTCTGGGAATATGCATTTGATTCTATGTGTTCTTACCTCGGTATGCCCACCTGTGTGCACTTATGTGTGTGAATATGTGCTCTTGAGTGCATCTAGATCAGACATTCTTCTGTTCACATATTATTGGCGAGTTGTTTTACATGACAGACCCTCATTGTTTGAGAATTTCATCTTTTGTGGTTTGAGTTTTATTCATTTATTTCACTGTTTGGTCTGCATTTAGCTTGTAATGAATTAGACATCTTATGTTAACTGTAATTATTCCCTTTTAGTTTTTGTTCACTAAAAAGTTTTCTTTTCAAACTTCAAACTTAGCAGGGTCAGCTTGAATTGAAATTGATAGGATGATTTTTCCATGCATGGATGGAGGTACACTGATCAACACCAAGTTTACTTATTAAACACCAATGTAGCGGCTCTTATGTATAGCATTAAGTTGCCATGGCATGAGTGAATCAGGGTTACCAAATAAAAAATTTCCCTGAAATTAAAACAAATTCATGTATGAAATTGGCTTCATTATAATGGTAGCGTTAATTGCTTCTTGGTCTTTTCTTTCTCTACCTTCCTTTTATATGTCAAGTACTTCCATTGCAGGTCTCCTATTGACATTATTGGTAAATCTGGTTATTTTAATTGATGAGATCGATCCCAATTTTTGCAATAGGGGTTGGTGGTGTAACAATATCAGAGGGTTTATATTTGTTGGATTCTTTGTTCATATTGATTATTTTCGCTTATAAATGGTTTGGTTAAAGTATGGGTATGCTCTTTCTTGGAGTTTATCTTGGCTGCTCCGTATTGGTTGAGTTCTTGGTTTTCCTTCTATGTTCCCCCACTTTAATACAAAAACAGCTAGATAAGAGCATAAGAAATTTGCTTTCGCGGTTTCCCTTAAAGCACGAATTGTTTGGTGCTGCATTTATGAATCTGGGTACATCTTTGATGGTACTGCTCTGAAGGAGAGGATTGAAAGAGGCTTTCCCAATCCCAATTATTTGTATCTCAGTATATCTTGGCTAAAGCTGATTTGTCTGGTTACCTAGGTAAGATCAAATTGAAGCAGGCTCAAAATTTTTCTTGTAAAAAACTGGAAAGGGGAATTATCATATTAACTAAAGTTGTGGGTTTTAGCTGCTAGACAGTTGGGACTGCAACACCTGACAAATGTTTTTGGGCAGTCTTTGGACAGAAGAAGCTACTTGGTGCAAGCAACTGAAGTATGGCTAACCATGCTTATCAAGAATCATATATTGTTAATTTGTTAGGAGTCAGTAGCCAACCTTTTTCCTTTCTGGGCCAGAAGAAAGTTGTCCACTTGGAAATTGTAATCCCTTTATATTGATTTAACTCTAGACTTCAAAATTTGAAAGCCAAAAACAGTATTAGAATCTTTGCACTTTGAAACCATGTAGAGGGAAAACTGCAAGAACAATACACTTCATTCGAGGTTGAAGAGTGGACCCCGTCTGCCTAGCCGTTGTAAACCCAGCAACGGCCATCTACCCCTTCTTGTATATAAATTAAATTCTCTTTTCTCCGAACTCCAAAGCAAAACCCTGAAGCCCGTGTCAGAGCAATCCAAACATCAACCCAAAGATGTCCTCCTCCAAGCTTAGAAGCTCCTTTTCATTCCCAAATCTCCTTCTATCCTGCTTGAACTTTACTCTCTTTATCCTTTCCGCAACTTCTCTTGCTCCCATTATTCTCCTCAAAATGCCGCCAACCTCCCTGGGTTTAGCATTCCTGATAGTCTCCTGCATCTCCCTTCTCGCCTCCTTCGTGGGCTTCTACTCTCAGCTCTCCCACTTCTGCTTCATAACCCATGTTTCACTTCTCATCGCCTCGTTGATTGGGCAAGTTCTCAGCATATTGGCCTTATTTACAAGAGAGAGATCTAGTCTTTCAATGCTAAAATCCCCACGGGACCCAAAAGAGGCAAAGCTATTGGTGAGAGTGGAATGTGGGATTTTCATGGCAATGTTGCTAATGCAGCTGGTGGTGTTAGCGCTGACCTGCACGGTCCATACCTGCTGGGTGCGAGAATACGAGGGATTAGAAGCTGAGAGAGAGGCAACAGCCAAGAAAAGGAGCAGAAAGATAGCAAGAGTGCAAGAGGAATCCATGGCAAATGCAGCGAAAATTGCTGAGATTAAAGCCAAGGAGTTTGATGAGAAGATGAAGAGCAAGTATTGTCACAGGGTGAAAACCGATTTTGAAGGCTAAAAAGAACATCTAGTCAATAATCATTGTTGATTATTTCGTTTCCTCCTTGGGGGTCACTACTGTAGTGGCCACTGTATTTGTATCGCAGACCCTATATCTTCTCACCATGGTTTTTTCTGTGTAATTTACGACTGTATAACAATCGCTAGTTTGCATTTAAACCTTTGCCAATTTCCTAACTTTTCTGGAATGGGCCACTTCACCTGTCCGTGAAATCCTTTTCCATTCCATAGGCTCAAAGCTTCAACCTGGTTGGGCTTTCGGTTTGAGCCTAGCTGGCCTGGCATCATCTATATTTAGCATGTACTACATGATGTGTTAACACATAGATACGTAAATCAAAGGCCCAGAAAAGAAAGAAAGAACTTGTGAGGTGGAAAAGAGAAAACGATGGTGGCTAAAGATCCACAAGATTCTCTGATGAAATAACATGGACACAGCTGCTTGTTTGTCTCAACCAAAACGGTGTGCGTATCAGCTTCCCTTTGCCCATACCTTGTTTTTTGCCTCCCTTTTTCTGCTTAAATCTCTCAGGACTAAACATTATAATTTTGACCCGCCAATCATTTGCAGCCTCTACCTTCATGCCACATCACCATCTCCTCCACGTGTCAAAATCTCTGTGGGTTTTCTTTTCAGATAATGTCGTCTTATCCTCTCTTCCCATGTCCCACGACTTTGACAGGTCCGGCAATTGTCAGTCTTTTTATTTTCAAAAAGATTTCTCCAAAAGCCGAAGTTTCTTCCTTTCGGTTTCCCATTGCCAGATATCTACATTAGAATAATAATTTTTTCAATTACTTTGGATCTTCTTTCTCTTCATCCTCTTTCAGATATTAAGGCCGTAATATTAGAATTCTTGTTTTCCCGGAAAATTTTTTTAACCGGGGATAGTCAGCTGCGCCATGTCAACCATCTCCATTTACAGAACTGAATTCTTGACTTTTTGTAGCAATGGATCGAGACCCCGCCACAAATTTCAAAGAACTTCCCTCTCTCCGACAATGTGAGTTGTTTTTCCCTTTCCAGTTTTGATTTTTTCTTCGAATTAACAATCAGGAATTTGCCTTTTGAAGCCGATTTTATTTGTTTTTCAATTTTTTTTATATAGAAAAAGGTTAGGGTTCTCAATCTTTTTTAAAAGAAATGTTTTCTTTATCGTACTTTCTTTTTAGTTTAATGAATTTTTGGTTTCTTTGGTTAGGAAAATGGATTCTAAATCATTTGAAAGTGAGAAAAAGGAAGAACTCTCGGTACAGCGTCAAACGCCGTCCATTCCTCAGCTCGATTCCTCAGGACCATCTAATCTTGGGTTTGACCGGCTGCAACCATCGGATCAGGAGCTATATCAGGATAAAAGACTAGAATTTGGAAAATTCGTGGCGAGAGAGGCCTTCCTTGATGAAGAATTCTGGGTATATGGCATTCTTAACCATTTTTCCCTTTTTTCACCTTTTATTTGATCAACTGATTTTTTTTTTTTTAGCTGCTGATTATTTTGTTTTCTTTTGGTTTTCTGGTAGACAGCGGCATGGCTGAGAGCAGAAAGTCACTGGGAGGATCGACCAGGTGAAAGGTAGGAATTAAGTTTTTTTTTTTTTTTAATATCTGAAGTAAAAGGATACCCTTTTGTTTTATGATTTGGACTTATCTAAACAAATGAATCTTTAAGTCCTTAGTAGGTAGCTGTTTATAGGATAAAGAATTGATTGGTATAAATAAATGGTTTCAAAAGTTTTACTGTGGAGTCTGTCAGGTTTAGAGGAAAGTAATTCTATTGAGATGTTGACAATGGACTTGATTAAATTCCCACCCCTCTGCTTGTATACACTATGCAGCCTTCGCGGGGAAATGTCTTTTTTTGCTAATGTTTGTGAGTGGATATTGGATGGATGCCCCTAATTGTAGCTATTCCTGATGTATACAGATATGTCGATAACTTCAAAAGGAAATTTGCTGAGCAGGTAGGAGAGAATATTGGTGTTCTTGAAATTGCTCATAAATACATCGGTGAATTTTGGTTATGTGTAAAATGCTTAGAAAGTTTCCTTATTTAGTAGGAATTCAATGCTATAAAAAGGCGATGCAGGGGGCAACATGGGCAGACACATACATGTATTGTCACGGTATGATGTTTTTACAGGATATCTTTTCCCAGATTGGTATTACTTTTAATGCGTTTGTTATCTCTCTTGGGTTAGGATTAGATCAATTTAGAGCTTCTCTGTTTCTCTTAATTGCTGGGATACATTTCTTGTGTTACGTTGTTGTTTTGTCTAGATGAAGAGTCTTATAGAATGCCTTGATATCAATTTATCAGGTTAAGAAGGAGGAAAGGAATGTCAAACGCACAGTGCTGAAAAGTGTAGTTGGAACCCTTGATTTCAGCATTCGGTATTTGTTGCATGGAGAGTCTTTTCCTGGGGTACAGTACATGCTCTTTTTATTGAGACTTCAAGTCCTATTACCAATCTAAATATATAGGTTATTTGTTAATATATTTGTGAATCTAACCTCTTGAAGGAACGTACAAGGCCCCTCTTCTGCAGCATCAACAGAACACACCTGAATAAATATGCTTATGTTTCCAACTTATGTGTAGCCAAATCAGCCCGTCGAAAGGGCATTGCTAGCAATATGTTGTATTTTGTTATTGAATCAGCCAGATCAAGTGGTAAAATTACAAGCATATTTCCTTCAGAAGCACCCCAACTGGTGCAAGTAGTGGGAAAATTCCCCTTCTAATCCAATCATTCATTTGCAGGTGTTGAAATGGTATATGTGCATGTGCATAGACACAATGGACCTGCACTGGAACTGTACGAAAAGATTGGTTTTGAGGTAATACGGTTTTATCTGTTCTATATGTGCTTTTGCGGTTTCATTTTCTGGCCTTTTGTCAATTTCAAATGGGGCTGATGTACTTTTTGCATTCTTATCAGATAGTTCAAATGGCAAGCTCTCAGTTGTTAGAACAGCAGATGTACTTACTTTGTTTCAAGACATAATATTCTGTTGAACACCAATTCAGGATTTCTTTTTTTCTCTTTTTGAATGAAAAAAATGAAAACCTTACATACAGCTTGACCAACGATGGGAAAGGATTAACCCAAGAAAACCTTACATACAGCTTCACCTGGCATTACCGCTCAGGGGACTTTATCACCTTTTTTTTTTTTCTGAAAGATGGGGACTTTATCACTTGTGTATGTAATATTTCCATGATCAGGAAATTGTAAATGCAGTGAATTTCTTGTATGCTTTCTGCTTCCATGAAAAAGATGATTAGATAGCTGAAGATTTTATTTCTATTTTATATTGGACTAATGTTGGAAATATGGTAAGAATGTGGTCATAAAGTAATAGGTAAATTAGGAAATACAACTATGAATTCATTAACATGTAAGGGGGCCATGAGATGGCATCTCACATTTTAACAATGCATCACATGCCAAACTGATCAAATGAGTTATTCACTGTCTTGACTAAAACTCAAATTAGGGCACTTTTTTGGTTCCAATTGATAGTGTATATATCTAACAATTATATAAGCTTCCACTTGATTTAATATTAGTTTTTTTTTTATTTTATGAAAACGTTTTATTCTATCCATCCAGGCCAGTCTTATTTTGCTCACATCCAGCTATTGTCGATTTTGGCTTATAGTGGGAGGACATTTAAGAAGTAAAGCAGATTATAAGGGAAATTCTTATTAAACATTAAGATAATGTCAACTCTTTTTTGTTTCAACTCAATTTAAAAGAATGGAAATATAGAGAACAATTCAATTATTTTCTAGAAATTAATTCTTATGAAATTCAGGATCAACTTAATTAAAAATATTAAAGAACAAAGGAAATTCGTTCTCTGCTCTTGAACACACATTTCATTTTATCAAACAAAAGGATATTAATTAAATTTATTAGGTTCATCATGTTATGTAATCTTTTTTATAAGCGTTAAATATAAATTCTTTCCCAATGAGGACGACCACTTGCATTAAAATTCTCAGTCTCTTTAATTTCTTTCTATTTTGGAAACAGTGGTGCTACTAGCTCGTAAAGTCAACCACGACATTCGTAGAAAATTTCAAACTAAATTAAGATGGTGGCGAACTACTGGTTTGCTTCGGCAGTTGGTGAAGTGACCTGTTCACAGCTAGGCAGGTGATGATCATCATGCTGCTGCGGCAAATTTCAGTGGATAAAAGGAGCTTCCTAAAGCTAGCAGCCTAGCACACATTGCTTCACATGTAATAATCTGATCGGCATCCAAGAGAGTGACCGAACACAATGAATTAATGGCCTCCTCTTCATCACAAGCGCCTATTAGCAAGCCTGGTAAGTGCGAATAAAACCTTTTTCTGGACTAATGCATTCAAAGAATTGAATCGTTCCCTTTATTTTCATCGATTCACCTCACCCAAAGGATAACAGGAACTATAGTTATATTCACCCAAAGAATCACTGGACGTCAGGTCGCCGTCTTGTAGCATTGAGGTGGAAATTAATGGAAACTCCAAAGATCGATGTTGTCCTGTCTGTTCGTTTCTTGACTTCTTCTTTTTGTCATGATCACAACAGAAAATAACGCTGAGCTATATCCCACCTGGCATCTGCCTCTATACAAAGCTGCTCTCAGAGGTGACTGGGAGAGCGCCAGCGAAATCTTGAAGCAAAACCCAGGGGCAGCCACGGCCAAGATCCTGGGCTCCCAATATGCGCTCCATATGGCTGTAGGGACAGGAAAGGCAACTGACTTGGTCAAGAACCTGGGGAAAGGGATGTCACCGGAGGACCTTGAAATCGCCAACCAAAGCAAGGTGACGGTTATTACTATAGCTGCTGCCAGTGGAAACACTAATGCGGCGAAGTTGCTAGTTAGTATAAACCCAAAGTTGCCTCATATTCAGGACGGCGATGAAGGGTTTCCAGTCCACAGGGCTGCGCAATCTGATCACGAGGAAACGCTTGTCTATTTACTTAAAGTAACAAGAGATGATGTGCAGCCCAGCCCATCTGAGAATAATTCGGGTGTTTTGCTTCTACGTCAAATCATCTTCGTAAGATTTTACGGTGAGTTGTCAACTTAATTTCCAGCCTATCATAAATGAGAATTTCATTAGCTAGAAAACCAAAACGTATCACTTGATCATGCAACACTCTCCTCATAATATTTGAGTTTAATGACTAAAATCCTCTCATCAAATAGAAATCAGCAAAACTCTTACTTGATACTTTTTGCAGATTTGGCGGCAGTCTGGTTCAGCGGCACCCAAAATTGGCAACATTGGAGGGCTATGGCTTAAAGTCTCCTTTGTGTTCCATTGCAGTGAGGTCTTCTGCATTCCGTAGTAGCAGTGAATTGAGACTATGCCAACGCTTTCTTTATTCCTGTTAGTTCTTCTACTCCTCTCTCAATCTCTCTCTTTCTCTCTACTTGATGTTATTTCTTAGTTTGCTCACTTGCTATATATACTTCATCAAATTTCTCATATAATTATCCTATATTTTATATCTATTTGACCAATATATGCGAACCTCTAATTTAAATTTGTTGAGAAAAGGCCAAATCTTGAGATCAAAGGATTCATTAACCAAAAGAAAGTAATTAAAATGAATAAAAAAAGGGAATTTCTTGATGCCAAAGAGATAAAGTATGTGGTTCCACTATTAGACCCAATTATACTTTTCCTGTTTTTCTTTCAAGAAAACTGCTCTCTAATATTTGTCACTGGTATTAGTTTTGGAGGATTCTTTTGCCATCAGAAGAGATTGTGAGAGGCTCCAAATCTTGTAGCTTTGATTTGAGCTCTTGGATGGTTTTGGTTTGGGAGGATCCCCAACTTAGAGGATTTTTCTTTAGCATATTCATAAGAGGATTAGAAAGTAACATTTTTTCCTTGGGTTGGTTTCTTCCAATTATATATATAGATGTCATTCCTATGAAGTTGGAGAATGTTCCCAACAATTCCATTGGGGGAGACATAGAGAATCCAGCTAACAACTCCCAAGCGCGGATATGGAGCAGCTTTCAACATTTCAGAGGAGGCCAATTTCTTAGTCCTGGTTTTGTCCACGTCCAAATTCTCCTCTGTTATTTTAGTTCATAGTCTTTCTTTGGTAGAGGAACTTGTCACCAACCACTTTTCCTCAGGATAGCTGTCCTTGTGTCAATTTAATTATTCTCTTTTAACTTGATCAGTGTGTGGTGCAGTGAGGCAGAAGCTTCACACAGCACTGTGGGATGTAAGTGACAGTTTAGGTATGAATATTAAATTCGGCACTGCCGTAATCAAAAGATTCTAATTACTACACACTTCAAAGCTAGATACAAGCCAAATACGTACCTAATTTTATTTGAGTTGCAGTACCACAGGTTAAGCACATCCGTCAAATGAAATTTATGTACGGTGAAGCACTAAGACTTGTCAAATTACTATGCACTGAAGCTGAACGTTTGGATCCTCAAAAGGCTGCAAATATATTTGCGGATCCATTGTTCCAAGCAGTATCACATGGAATCCCTGAAATCATTGAAAATATTTTAGAGTCCTTTCCAGTTGCAGTTCAGTTTCGTGACAATGAGGACCGTAGCATAATCGAAAGGGCAGTTCTATACCGTTGCCACAATGTCTTCAACTTAATATATAGAATGAATCGTCAGACTAAACATGCATTAGCAGAGAACCGAGATAGGTTTCAGACTAATATCTTCTATCTGGCAGGAATTTTTGGCACCGCAAGACCAGCTCAATCTTGTTTCTGGTGCGGCTCTGCAAATGCAACGCGAGTTGCAATGGTTTAAGGTAAAAATTAATTATCTATTTTTTTCCCCCCCGTCTTATGGTGATTTTGTTAAGTCACTTATCAGGTTTACCATTTTCCTACAGGAAGTGGAAAAGCTTGTACCGAGTATCTATAGGGATGCTAGGAACTACAAAGGAAAGACGCCGAGAATGGTGTTCATCGAAGAACACAAGGAATTGGTTAAAGAAGGAGAGAAATGGAGGAAGGATGCAGCAAATTCATGCTCGGTGGTTGCAGCACTTATCGCCACAGTCGTGTTTGCCACAGCCATCACAGTACCAGGTGGCTCGCTGTCTCAGATACACTCTCTCTCTCTCTTCTCATCCACCGCAGCCATCCTGATGTTCTTGTCCATCCTTACCGCTCGTTATGCCGAAGACTACTTTCTCCTAGCCCTGCCCAAGAGGCTAATCATGGGGCTCCTCACCCTTTTCATCTCCATAACTACCATGATGATTGCCTTTAGTGCCACACTGTATCTTGTGTTCGAAACCATGAGACATGGATTCTAACATCCGTGGCTGCATCAGCTTGTTTATTAGTGATTTGTTTGTTTACCTGCAATTTTCTCTACTTGTGGATATGTTCTCTTCCACTTATGGCCATGGAATTTTTGGCCAGCGTAGTGAAGAACCCTTGTGCTAAATCAGAATTCAGAGCCAATATAAGCCTTTTGAGCAATAAAATGATTTATTGCATATCTTCCGTGCCTGCCTTATTTTGCTGACATCCAGCTATATTCATCAAAAATAAATATGGAAAACCACATCGAAGTGAAAGTCAAGGCAAAGAAGTGAAATTTATTAATTTATTGAGATAACAAGGCAACCCTTTTTATAATTCTTTAATGATTGATCAACTCAATTCAAAATTTTGGAGAATGAGGAGAGTCTCCTACTTCGTGGGATTATAATTGAGGCAGTTAATTTGGTTATAATTAATAGTTTATAACAATAAATATATCTAATTTATGATCTATTTTTTTATTTTAACTCAATAGTCTGTTTAATTATGCAATAACATACATACATGCTTAGTACTTGAAAATCATATTCCCTACGTACATAGAGATGCATGTCCGAAGAAAATTTTAAACAAAGAGAAGTGGAAAGTTGCTGCTTGCTTTGGCAATTAGCTGCTGGCATTACTTATTTAAAATATAAATAGAGCAGGAAGCGTCTAATAAGAAGTATGTACAGTGTTGAAAAGTTCATACAACAGCAATGGCTTCCTCCTCTGGAGTTAATGCTGATAACGATGCTGCGCAGGGTATGAAAGTTGATTAAAATAAAGTTATGATTGTTTATGATGAAAACTACAACAGTTTCAGTCTTCTCTGTATATATGTTTACAGAATCAAATTTATGAATTTTTTTTGCATGCTTTTGTGTGATATATGTCAGGAAGAAGGTATCTCAAGGAATTGTACACGGCACTATTACGTTAGAAAGATCCATCTTCCTCACCATCTCTTGCTAATGTTGATCCATCTATTACGTTAGAAGTTTCAGTCTTTGGAGAGTTGCTAGATGCTGGTTAGCCGACAAAATTATGTTTAAAAAAAAGGTTCTTTGTGATTAATTTTACTTGTCTATATATCTTTCTTGCATGATGGAAGATGCACTGAGAATAAGGCATCTCAGCCAGTACATCCCTTTACACAAAGCCGCACTCAAAGGTGACTGGGAAAGTGCTAGAAGAATATTTGACAGCAATCCTGAAGCAATTACTGCCAGGATCACGGAAGCGTTGAGCACAGCTCTTCACCTTGCGGTTGGTACAAGAAAAAATATTGACTTTGTGCGTAACCTGATAGATTTAATGCCAGTTGAGGCATTGGAATTGACAAACGATAGCAACAGCACCGCCCTGACGGATGCTGCAATTGTTGGGAACCTGGAGGTAGCCAGCTTGTTGGTAGAAGGAAAACCCAATTTGCCCGATATACGCGACAACAATGACGTGGTTCCACTTCATAGAGCTGTGCAATATGGCCTCAAGAATTTGGTCTCATTTTTGTTAGGAGTCACCAGCAATGAGATTGAGCCAACTTATCCAAGTCCCTATGCTGATAAATCTGGTTTCATGCTTCTACTTCTGTTGGTACTGGTTGGATTTTATGGTTTGTGAAATTCGAGGCCTTTCTTGGCAATTAGAGATTACATATTTGGCAATATCATACTTTACTTTCCATTTATTCTTCCTCACTTGACAGACAAAGCTCTAGAACTGGCTCAGGATTATCCAATGACGGCTAGAATGCGAGTGTACCGATGGTAGCAGTCCTTTAAGCGTGTTAGGTCAGACGCCCTCCGCATTCCGCAGCGGAAACAAACTTCAGCTTTCGGCCACGTTTCATTTATTTTTGTCAGTCTCTAGCTACTTCTTCTTATTTGCTTCCTAGTGTTTGATATTACATATGGTGAATCTACGTGCTACTTAAGCATGAGTGCATGACTATCTTCCAAAATTGAAAGCTTAAAGCTCAAAACTCAAGTCAAACTTAATGTTCCTTCCTCGTACCCAAACTCAAACTGACGAATGAGGTTCATTATATCATAAGTTAGAATCGGCCTTCAGTTGCCAAAAAGAGCCCAGCGCTTCTGCTTAAAAAACAATTGGCCTACAGTTGATGCCTTTGAAATTTTATATCAGATGTGTACTGTCTAAAAGGATTATACGATACGTATTTAAGGACAAAAGTCTAAACTTTACTATATTCTGAGTTCAGAATCGGGAGGCCTTATTGTTTTCGAAAATGACATCAATATGGAGAACTTGCCCAACCACCCCATTGAAGGAGATTACCCAGCTGTCTGTTCCCAAATTTGTATGCAGATATGCAGCCGGTTTTCAACTGTAAGAGGGAACCATCTGATGTTCGGTTTGTTACAAAGTTCTTGCTCGTTTTTGTTTTAATTTATTTCTTTATTTCTTTTATGGAAGGGCAGGGGAAGCATCAAGACAGGGGTACTGCAGTACTGTGCCAAAAATTTGAGAAATACTCAACCGTGTAAATTAGTCTTCAAGGAAACAGGTGTAGGTAGTTGTAAACCGGGAGCACTGGAAAGTTCATTCTTGCATCTTTTGCCCCTCCCTGGAAAAATTATTTCCCACGGAAACAGAATAAAATTCTATAATCTTAGAACAGAGGAGGAAGACTCTGCTCATCCTAATTCCTAATGTTAATGTTCTCTCTGTCGTTTACTACAATCATTTTGGTAATTTTGTTAT